AACCTAAGGGGAAAGTGTTTACTCTGTCTCACAGACCGAGGGCACAGTCCATCATGGTGGAGAAGTCAAGACAACAGGAGCTTGAAGCGGTTGCTCATGTCACATCCACAGTACAGAACAGAGTAATGAACGCATAGTCCTATGCTTGGCACCCCTTGTTCACTTTTTTGCCTAGGATCCCAGCCAAGGGAATGGTGCCACTCACAGTGGGAGGATCTTCCCAACAAAATTAATACAATCAAGATAATTCCTCATAGGCATGCCCAAAGGCCCATCTCCCAGATGATTCCAAATTCTGTCAAGTTAGCAATCAACACTACCCACACCCTAGAGCTAGGCCTGTGACGGTTGTATGTGGCCCTGGTCCCTAAGCTGCTGTGACATGAACAGCATCCAGCACATGCTCACACGAACACCAGTGGTTGGAGCCACGCTCCCACGCCTTCCTTGCCATGATGGACTAAAGCCTTCAAAACCAAGACCCCAGGCAAACCTTTCTTCCCTGAAGTTGCTTCCATCAGGTATTGTGATCCCAACAGTACAAGCAGCCTAGGTGACTGTCCTTAGCAACAAAAGGACCAGCCTACAGGCTAGCAACGTCCTTTGTGGTGAGTATCCCGAGGCAGCCCTAAGGTCAGGAGTTGGGGGTGGGGGAGTGTGGTGTTAAGACTCCTCCAGAGCCAAGAACGGAGCTGCCTTCCTTGAAAAAGTCTCAAATGAGGTTCATATGCATCTCTTAATGGGCAAGTCTCCACCCACCTCTAACTTGAAAACCCTGTTTTCTGGGAACTCTCCAATATTCATGTTCCTTTTGGATTTGCCAGGTACTGAGGCACACACCTTTAACCTCAAAGCTCAGGAGGCAGAAGCTGGAGATCTCTGTGAATCTGAGGCCAGCCTGGGCTACATAGTGAGTTCCAGGACTTCCAGGCCTATATCTTAAAACCCAAAAAAAGACAGATTCTGCTTGAAGAAAACTTGATGAGGGACTGGAGAGATCTTTCAGTGGTTAAGAGCACTGGCTGCTCTTCCAGATGATGGGATTTGATTCCCAGAACCCACAAGGCAACTCACAACCAGGGGACCTGATGCCTTCTTTTGGCCTCCACAGGCACCTAGCACATACATGGTATATATACATGCATGTAGGAAAACTACTCATCTGTGGTGATATTTTAATTGTGCTGAAATGTGATTTTACTTGTATGTTAACAAATAAAGTTTGCCTGGAGATCAGAGGCCACATAGCAAGGTTACATAGCCATTAACAGAAGTCAGGCGGTGGTAGCACACGCCCTTAATCCGATCACATGGCAGAGTCTCTGTGTGGTCAAGGACACAGCCAAGTGTGGTGATATGAGCCTTTAATCCCAGTACCAACCATAGAGACCTGGAGGTCTGTATAGACAGGCAGTGACAAGGAAGTCATGTGGCTGGGCTTAGAGCCCATAAAAAGGTAGAACAGGAAGGCAATAAAAACACAAGTCATACCGGGCGGTGGTGGCACACGCCTTTAATCCCAGCACTCGGGAGGCAGAGGTAGGTGGATCTCTGTGAGTTCGAGGCCAGCCTGGGCTATAGAGTGAGTTCCAGGAAAGGTGCCTGTTAGTTAATTGTTCTTACCCTGCAAGGAAATGTCACGAAACACGACAGAATCCGCTTATAAGAGTTTATTAGAGATAAAGGGACAGAGAGCGTGCAGGCCTGTGGAAGAGACACATGTGTGGAGGAGGAGGAGGAACCGGGAACATGGTGCCCATTTTTTAAAGGCTGGGTGTGCCCAGGTCACGTCACTACTCCACACATGTGCGTAGATCACATAGCCACGTTGCGCGCTTACGTTGCCATGAAACGTCATGGATCCTGGTCATGCGAGTCGCCTTGACCCGGAAATGGCTATCCTGACCTGAAACTGGCTAGGCAGAAGTGTCCACCAGGCATATGCAAACACGCCCGAGCGTGGGGGCGTGTTGTGAACCCTTCAGTGCCAAAGCTACACAGAGAAACCATGTCTCGAAAAACCAAAAAAAAAAAACCACAAGTCAGACAGGAAGAAGCTGTCTCCGGGGAAGCAATGGTGGCAAGGTGGTAAGATAAGGTATTCGTGGCTCTTCGCTAGTTCTCTGATCTCTTTGGCTATTACCTCTGTGTTTGGCTCTATGTTTCTTAATAAGACTGTTTAGAAATTCGTCTACACTCATACACATGATAAGGTTTTTTTAAATGAACTGGAAGCTTTTATTTTAGTTTTTATTTTATGTGTATGGGTGTTTTGCCTGTATGTGTATCAGTCTACCACATGCATGCATGCAATGCCCTTGTAGGCCATGCAATGCCGTTGTAGGCCAGAAGAGGGCATCGGATCCCCTGGAACTAAACCCACAAATGGTTGTGAGCCACCACGTGAGTTCTGAGAATCGACCCTGAAGCCAGCTCTCCAGATCCAAAAGCTAAGCTTAAATAAGAAATGAACACGTGGAAGGATGGGCAGTTCAACAGGACAGGCAAGTTCAGCCCCTCCTCTTCCAGCCGTCTGCAGAATGAGCTAGAACAATGACTTCAGGTCAGAGACAGCCTGTGCCAATCTTGCCCCTGGCATCTGAAGCATTTCTGATCCTCTGCGGGAGAGATGAGTGACACCGGGCCCCTAGGGAACAACTAGAATGTCCTTTAAAAGAAACCAGGTGCTTTCCTGCCACAGATGAACTTCCCAGCAAATTGCGGCATGCCTGCCACAGTTGGGGGTGGGTGAGGAATCCTGTTCCCTAAGCCTTGAGACTTTGCATTTAACGGAAGAAGCATTTTGACCCATCCCAATAGGAAGAAAAACCGCCTAAGGACCTGGAGCCGGATTCCTCCCCCTAACCCTTTTGGGAGCTACAGAAAGAAGCCCCGCCCTGCCTCACCACTAGCCGGAAACTCTTCCCTCCCGGTCCTGAGCAAGGCCTTTGAGCGTGCTTCCTACCGGACCCGGTCCTGCTTGTCCAGTGAATTTCCATTAGGAGGGAGGAGAGAAGTCAACCCGCATTTAATAAAATTGAAAGCAGTTCCCTGGGGTTGGCCTGTCCCCAGGAAGCTGTAGAAAGGCCCTAACTCTCCTGATCCCAAGTTGCAAGCCCATGCCTGTTTCCTGGCCCACAGCTAGCTCTGCATCTGCGCAGGGCTCGGAGCAGACCAGTCCCTACACTCTTACTGTCTTCATGCTTGGAAGCGGCCAGACTCTCTTGAATCAAAATGAATCGTGAAGGTTAATTTGTAGGCTGAACTGCTTTACTTCTGGTTTTCCTTCTCCCTAAAAGCATCGTATTGAAGTTGTACATAGTGGCTTAGACCTCTGGTCCCAGCACTTGGAAGACCATGAGTCTGAGGGCAGCTCGGGCTACATAGCAAGACCATGTCTTTAATATATGTGTATGTAATGCATGTACTAGAATAATTATATTATGTTATGTTACATATAAATTCAATATATATTACATATATAAGCAATAAATACATAATAAATAAAATAGAATGTGATAGAATTTTTGCTTTGTTGTAAGATATGTGTGTATGTATTTATTATATATTTATATATAATGTATATATACACATATATATTTATATAGTGTGTGTGTGTATATATAGATAGATAGATAGATAGATAGATAGATAGATAGATAGATAGATAGATAGATATAATTTACAGCAAAGCAAGAGATTCTGTCAATTTGTCAGGGTTTTGTGATCAAAAGTAGTTTTCCAGATGCCGGGCAGTGGTGGCGCATGTCTTTAATCCCAGCACTCAGGAGGCAGAGGCAGGCGGATCTCTGTGAAGCCAGCCTGGTCTACAAAGCGAGTTCCAGGAAAGATGCAAAGCTACACAGAGAAACCCTGTCTCAGAAAAAAAATGTAGTTTTCCAGTAGTGTTTTGGGTTTTTTTGTCCTCTCTACCCCTCTTCCTCCTGCTCTCTCCTGCTTCTACCTAGGTCTCCCCTTCCTTTCTCCCTCCCACCTCATCTCCTGTCCCACCAGAGTGAAAACAGGCCCTCCAGCCCAATGGGTTAGCATCCCACTTTTCCTAGGCCAGTAAGTCTGAATGGTCCCAGTAAAAATTTGGAATGAGGGGTTGGCACAAAACATCAGACTGGAGTTCAGATCTCTAGAGCCAGTGTTTGCCTAGGTGGACCAGGCAGCCTGCCTGTCATTCCAGCCTTGGAAATCGCAAACATGGGGATCCCAGAGCAAGCTGGTAATGAGACTAGCCATATTAGCAAGCTCTGGCTTTGATTGAGAGACCCTGCCTCAGTGAATAGGGTAGAAGAGTGATCCGGATGAATCCCAACATCAGCCTCCGGCTGCCACCTGCACATGGACAGACACATTTGCGCTCACCCAAACACGTGCAAACAGCAAAAGCATGCATGTGCACAATACACACATTCATGAAAATGGGGAAAAAACTGATTTAGATGTTAGATTTCAGTTTTCTTAGTTCATTCACAAGAAAGACCATAGGTATTATTAGGAGTCTGTGTGAGCTGAGGTCACACAGCTGGGGTTCAGGTCTAGTCTGCAGATGGGCATGGTGGCACATGTCTGTCACTCCAACACTCAGAAAGAGGGCAAGTTCCAGAATGCATATGCACATGTGTGCATGCACACACACACACACACACACACACACACACACACACACCCTGCTTAGCCATACTCAGACAAGTTCCTAAATTTTCTCACCTATGAAATAGGGGTGGGAATGCTGGTTAGATGACTAGATTCCTGTAGAGCGCTCAGTGTGAAGGCTGCCACAAAGGGAAGGCTTACTCCTGCTCCACAGAAGGGCCCCCACCCTCCCCTGACAATCCTGCCATCACACAGCCCCAGTATTGCCTTTAAAATGTGTTGTGTCGTCATTTATTTGCAAACATGTCTGTTTGATTTCAAATGAAAACGCTTTGGGGTTTGCATGAAAAACAAAACGCATTCAGGGGGAAAAAAAAGAAAGGCTGGCAGACTCATTGTTAGTAAACAGCAAAATATTTTTGAAGGCTAGACGCAGACAGTTTAGATGCTAGAGGGTTCGAATTGACAGACTTTTGATAGGAGAAGCCAGGCTAGCAGGAGAGCATTTCCGGGGACTTAATAACTGGAAACTTGAATCTCTCCTCCCCTCCCACTGGCCCTCAGTACTCTACTTGCTGTGAGCCCAAGGCCCTGTCGCCGTCCATTCATGGAATTCCTGTCCAATCCCGATCATTCCCATAATTCATTAATGATACTGCAAGTTAAATATTAAATTATTCATGTAAACAACATGAAGAGAGCCAGATGCAAAAGCTTCCTGTCAGGGATGCTGGCTGTTCAGTCGGCTGTTGAAAAAAGGGAAAAGAGATTGAGACCAAACCAAGATCCGGAGTCCCCATCGATGTTGTGGCTATGGAGCCTCCAGAGTTCTGGGAAAGGGAGGCAGACCTGTGACTGACAGTCACAGCCAGAAGCATATCGTCTGGACCAGAAGAGTCAATCCACATGTTTTTCTCTTTGCAGAAGCTGTGGGAAAGGCCCAAGAAGAATGAAGCAATCTTTTGTCCTCTTTGCTGGATGCTAGAGAAATAGAATTGTATCAAAGCCTCACCCTCATCTGCCCAAGGCCAGAGAGCAAGCCCTGCTGAAGGTCATATCCTAACCAGGGGTTTCTCCACCCTCCAAGGATAGCTCCTCACAGTGGGACCTCACAGGTCAAAGGCAATTCCAGGGAAGAGGCGAGGGTCCGCTCCAGAAAGAGGGTCAGCTCTTCAACTCAGGGGCGCCTTGCTTCATTGAGGTGTCCGTAGCATCCGCTGCCTCGGTGCCAGGATCCACCTTTGGCTCTCCTCCCTCAGGGTGACCTCCGGGTTTCTGGGACTCCACGACCACCTCGGAGACCTTGCTGGAATGGCATCCCATCTCGCAGGGACCCAGAGGATCTGGTGCTCTTGGACCTATAGAAAGCGGTAAGGTTCATGTATTGGAGGGAGCCTCAGAAGCCAGAGCTAAATAACCCTTGGCCAGAACACTGTTGCAGAGAGAGCTGGCATGGTTTCCATGGCCACAAGGAGACACCCCCTGGCCACCACTGTGAGGTAGGCAGGACTTGGAACCCTGCCCTTGCAGCTAACCTGGTTAATTCAGGCTCTATAATAAACCACTCCCTTCCCATTCTCTTTAATTTCTTTGCAGATCTCCCACCACCTCCACCACCACCTAGTTACAGGTAAACACCAACCTACACCTTCACAGACAGAGAAAGCAGTTACCACGCAACAAGCTGTGCCTCCCTCCTGGTCCCAGGGGCACATCCACTCCTGGGCCTCACAGACCCCCTGCCTGGAGGCAGTGAAACTATCCTAGACCGTCTGCACCATGGACTCCCAGGGTTACCCAAACATGTAATTGAAAGATCTAAAAGGCACTGGGTGGGGCTGGGTGCCAAGTGGAGTTCACATTCCTTACCTGGTTTACAACCCCGACATGTAGTTTCTATTATTCAGTTATTCAAGTATCATTCAACAGATGGAAACACAGAGGCAAAGAAAGATGGAACAGTCTACCTGAGGTAGTTACTGATGACCACAAACTAACCGTCCTGGGAGTTAAACCCATGTCATCTGGCTGGCTTTTTATTTTAAAGCAGAGCCTCCATATGCAGGCCGGGCTGACCACAAACTCACAATCCTCACAGCTCAGCCTCCCAGGGCTGAATGACAGGTGAGCACCAGCACAGGCCATGGCCCCCTCTCTTCATCGATTTGAGGTATACATGTATAAAGTCGCTATCAAGCCGTTTTCACACACAGTCACAGATGTTTTGGGCTGAGGAGGCTGTGGTTGAATAGTTTGTTTGTTGGTTTGCCTGTTTTATGTCTTGTGGTTCTGAGGATGGACCCCTCACCCTCTCGCATGGCTAGGTAAAACTCACACTGAGCAACAACCGCCGCTTGTCATTACGCTTTTAATCTGAGATGCAGTTACACTTTTCATCTGGGGTGTGCATGCAGCATTATTGATTAAATGTGAACTGTCCTAAACTGGCTCCTGTGTTTAGATACCCAGTCCCAGCTGATGACGCTGTTTAGGGAGGTTATGGGGTACAAGGTGTACCTGGAAAACATAGGCCAGTAGGGCCAGGCCTCAAGGTTAGAGCCAGCCCTTCTCCCATTTGTGCCCTCTACTGCTTGATCCACACAAGATACAGGGACCTCCACCAAACACCTCTTCCTTCATGAACCCCATGACTTCCCCGCTTCAAAGCACTGAAACTGAGACAAAAGAATTCCTTCCTTCTGTCTGTTATTACTCACAAGTAGTTTGTCACGGGAACAAGGAGAGTGGCTAACGTAGATAGGTAGAGGTTTTCAAGACCATGGATGAGCTTGCATGCAGGCATTTCCTGAGGGAAGCCCCAGGTCCTGACAGTTCAGACTCTGGTGCTCTACAGTCTCTAGTTCTCTTAGTTTCTAATCACCTCACTTTCCCTTCCTAATCTAACAAGGGCGTCGTGATTCTTTTCTCTTATTACTTTTATTTCTTTCTTTGATTTTTGTTTGTTTGCGGTGTTTCTGTTCATTTTTGTTTTTTGAGACAGGGTTTCTCTGTGTAGCCCTGACTGTCCTGGAACTCACTCTGTAGACCAGGCTGGCCTCAAACTCAGAGATCCACCAGCCTCTGCCTCCCAAGTGCTGAAATTAAAGGCCTGAACCACCACCTCCTGGCTAGATTTGTTTATTTTTATTTTATGTGTATATGTTTGGCCTACATATACCACCTGCAGCCTGGAACTAGAGTTACGTATGGTTGTGAGCCAAAGGGAGCGTGCTGTGAACCGAACTCACTCTTCACCACAGAGACACTTCTCCAGCCTCAGGGCTTCATAGTTCTGACCCAACTCCAGGGAGCTGGAAGGAACATGGAGGAAATCTATGAAGTGGCTTTCGAGAGAAGCACAAAGCTGCTGTGATGCTTTGCTGACTCCCTGCGCGGCCATCAAGGGGACTTCAGCTCCAGTGCATTACGGAAGGCAGGAATATGGTCCCGTTGGATAGCTTACAGAAACCCTCCCAGTACTCCTCACAGCCCCACAGTCCTTAGAGAACGAGCTGCTAATCTTCTAGAGTCAAAATCCAGTCAGGTCAGTAGCTCCACGTTTGAGATCATGAACTTGAGCATCGAGTTCAAGTCCAAACTCAAGACTTGCTGCCTCCAAAGCCTATGACCTCCCTCCCCACCCAGGCCCCTCTGCCCTTCTGCCTCTGCAGTCAGTTCCCCCTCTCTGGGCCCGGGCATTCACTGGTCTAAACGAATACGGCAAAGCTCCCCTGTAAGTCACTGTGCTTTGAGTCAACTTCTTGGCAGCTTGGCAGAGTAACAGAAAGACATTGTGATACCTTCTGTGTACATCTGCCATATACATGCCAAAATAGACTTCAGGAGTGCCAGGGTGGAGGAGGGAACTCCGTTAAGGTAAACTCTCATTTGGAAATTAGGATCTCAGGCCAATAAACCTATCCAGATTAATTATACTGATCACAGGTAATCCCAAGAGGCAGGCAAAAAGCCCCCACTCAGAGCTTTGTGTGTGTAGATGCATGGCAGGGATGAGTAGACAGAGGGACCTTGGCCAAGTAAACAGCATAAGAAATCATGACTTCTCTGGTTACTTGGGACCATTTACATCATCAATGAGGTCAAGTACTGAATTAGCTTTCATTCAAAAGTTTTTGAGAAATTCAAGACAGTAGTACTTTAAATGAGGGAGAAGGCTCACATCATGTGCCACATCAAACCTCTTCTTCAACTTCCAGATGTAGATTTGCCTTTGATGGAGACTGTCATTTGCCAGTGTGTTGGCTGGCTTGACCCTGGAGATATTGCCAAAAGTTGAGTTAGCCAAGCCAAAGGTGGGTGGGATATGAGCAGGACACATTTAAAATACTTTCAGCCTTAACCGGCTTTCCTAGCCAGGAATGGTACATGCCCCTAATCCCAGTATTCAGGAAGCTAAGGTAGAAAGATTTTGAGTTCCAGACCAGACTGGGCCACATAGCAAGACTCTTATCTTGAAAATCCAAGGGCCAGGCTTGTAGCTCAGTGGTACCATGTTCTCTTGCCCGGAGTATATGTAAGACTCTGGGTTTTATCATCAGTGATGAAGAGGTGGAGGAAGAGGAAGAAGAGATGATGATTTCTGGAGTAGTTGAGGTTAACAGTCAGGAAAGGTTAGATACATAAACAGGGTGCAGTGGCCCTGGTGGTTGGGTGTGATGGCTTTTAAATCAAGGTTTCCATATAAACAGTCTCTTTGTTGGCTTTATCCACAGCAGCTGTTAACTGATTAACTCCCCTTATCTCTTCCCCTCCCCCTCCTGCCTTTGTAATAAATTTAAGACATCTCAGAATGTCTTTTATCAATACCTTCAACATGCTCACACACACACACACACACACACACACAGAGAGAGAGAGAGAGAGAGAGAGAGAGAGAGAGAGAGATTGATTAGAAAATTTACCAACAATATCATATTGAGATAACGCTGTAGATGTAACCAATCCTATACTGCTAGTAACCCAAAGTGCTAAGGCACTTGGGAACCCTTGGGAACCCTTTGAGCAGCTGCTTATAAACACACACTAACCACAGGATATTTATCTGTATTGCTGGCTGGCCATCACAAAGTGCTGCCGAGAGGAACTTATGTAACATACATTGACCTTCTCATGGTTCTGAAAGGTGAGGGACATGATCCCAGTGCCAGAACCTCTGGTTTATGATGAGAGGTCTTTTCCTACATTTATAAACACCTCTTCTCCATCCTCATGTGCTCTCCATCCTTAAATATTCCCATGCTCTCTGAAAGTGACAGGGCATCTTCTATATGTGTAGTCCTGGCTGTCTTGGAACACTGTGTGGACCAAGCTCATCTCAAAGTTGTGAGGATCCTCCTGCTTCTGCCTCTGCCTCTGCCGCCCTGGGATCTTAGGAATTATGGGATTATAAGGATCTCAGTGGGAGCCTTGAACTCCTCTCTGAAAACTAGGATTCTAGGCATGTGCTTCCACTCCCAGGAGCTCAACTTTCTTTTTATTTACTTAGTGTTTATAGGAGTTGCCATGATCATGGTGTGTAATTAGTTGTTTTTTACTCTTTGGGGGGGCCTACCACCCAGCTCCCAAATAAATACAAGGAGACTTATTCTTACTTGTGAATGCCCAGCATTAGCTTGCTTTGTTTCTAGCCATCTTTTCTAACTTAAATTAACCCATTTCGCTTTAACTATGTTTTACCTCTGGGCTTTTTACCTTTCTTTATTCTATATATCTTTCTTTCCTTCTTATTCCTTCTTACTTCTTTCTTTACTTCTTACTCCATGGCTGGCTGTGTAGCTGGGTGGCCGGCCCCTGGCATCCTCCTCTCCTTCTCCTCTTCTCACTTCTTGCTCCTCTCAAGCCTAGATTTCTCCTCCTATTTATTCTCTTGGCCTGGAAGACCCACCTATCCCTCTCCTGCCTAGCTATTGGCCATTCAGCTCTTTATTAGACCAATCAGATGTTTTAGGCAGGCCAAGTAGCATAGCTTTACAGAGTTAAACAAATGCAACATAAAAGAATGGAACACATCTTTGCATCATTAAACAAATATTCCACAGCATAAACAAATATAACACATCTTAAACTAATATTCCATAACAATGGTGTCTTTTCACAGCAATAAAAACCCTAACTATGACAGAAGTCAGTACCAGGGACTAGGGTATTGCTGTGATAGGCCAGACTATGTTTTGGGGATTTGGGGTTAGGAAAGTAATGGAATGCTTTAGGCACTACCTAATGGACCATACTAGTAGGAGCATAGAAGACAGTGGTACAGAGGGTGATTTGAACCATGGGGGGCCTGGCTAAAGAAGTTTCAGAGGAGAAGAATTTTAGTACATTGCCTAGAGATCATTCTTGCGATATTTTGGTAAAGAATGTGGCTGCTTTTTGCCCTTGTCTGAGGAGTCTGCCTGAGAGGTTAAAGTGAGGAGATTTGGGTTA